GCGAGAACTTCTGTGCTGGAGTCACCCCTCTGGGGCTAGACTTGGGGCTTTGGTGCTCACTGAGTCTGCCCCCTGAGTGTGTCTTTTATGATTCCACGGAGCTGCACACTGGATGGTTCCACTCTGACCTCTGGGCTTCCTGGCTTCTGGATCTTTAGGGCGGTGCTAATCTAGCCTTTGCCTGAGGCTATCCAGCAAAAGCCTCCCTGCAGGGGCTTGGGCGGGGCAGGTCCCATGGGATCAACAGGGCGGGGTTAGCAATTATGGCTGCTCTCAGTCTTGCCCTCAGAGGCTCTGCTTCTCAGTGTCCTAGTAATCGCTGCAAGCCCCACGGAGAGAAAGCTGCCCTAGGGTTTTGAGCGATGCCAGACAGTCCCGCTTCTCCTGTATGAGTCTGGGTCCCTAGAGACTCGCCCGGAACTGGAGTTCAGAGCCTGAAACTCCCTCCCGATTCAAAATGACAACTGCGCCCTCAGCCGCCAGCCCACTCCGCATGCACTCCGCACCTTAGTATTTTACTTCAGCACTGCGCCTCCTCTGAGTCTCGGTATGCTTTTCTCTTTCCTCCTAGTTGTAGAACTTCCACTCAGCCAGCCTTCCTGTAGTTCTGGATGATGTCCGTTCCGTCATTTAGTTGTACTTTTGAAGTGGTTGTTCGAGGCAGCAAACTCCGGTGTTTACCTATGCCGCCATCTTGGTTTCTCCTCTGTTCTACATTTTAAAAAATCTACTTTGTGATGTATTACAGAATTATACAACCGAAACCTATATAATTTTATTAACCAGTGTCACCCCAATAAATTCAATTAAAAAGCTGAAAAAATAAACAAATAAAAGTGGTACACTTTATTAGAAACTGAATATAGGAGATACATTCATGAATTTTAATCACAAATAAATAAATATTAAAAATAACAACATAAAATAATCTCCTTTGGCCCTCATTCCATTAAGTCAGTGCTCTTTGTCAAGACAAAGACTCATTAACTTTTAGAGAAGTAACTGCTTATGTATCAGTTGGCCAGCAATGGCTTAGTTACTTTCCATGGGACATGTTTACAATGTAATGGAGACTCCTGGAGGCACAGTATGCCTTAATCTAAAGGAATGGTTGTAATGATGCAAATTTGAGGCATTATAAATAAGGAGCCAGCAGCAAACTGTTCTGTTTGATTTTGGCAAGTGGGTCTTTCTGTGCACTTAAATCATACAGCAGTCTGCTTAAAGACAAAGGTAAAGTAGGTTTTACCTTCTTACCCGGAGAATTTGAATCTGCAAAGATGAAAGTGATTTGCTCTTTCTCCTCATTCTCAGAATGACTGATGGATACTCAGGAAGTGATCTAACAGCTTTGGCAAAAGATGCAGCTCTGGGTCCTATTCGAGGTAGGTATACAAGTGTTGGAAACATTTATACCTCTTCATAAGACCATTTTAGAAGTTTAATAAGTCTCTATTAGTGGGAAAGCAGTAAAGCTGTATCAGTGGAAAACTTGAGGTCCATTGAAATAAAGTATTCTAGATTTAAGGTTAGCAAACTTTTCTGTAAAGAGCCTGTTGGTAAATATTTTAAGTTTGTGGGCTGTATATGCTCTACATTGCATATTCTTGTTTTTTTTTTTTTTCAAACAATCACACACAAAAACCCCCAAAATGTGAAACTATTTTTAGCTCACAGACCATCCAAAGACAGTCCATGACCTCTCTTCTAGACAACAGGTTTCACTTGTTGATAGTAGCAAAGAAGCAGAAAACTCAAAAAGAAAACTTTTTTAAGCAAGCAAAAAAGAATACTAAAGGGAAAATGTTCTTAACTTTTTTGTGTGCTTTTCATTTCAGTATTCTAATATCACTTGAAATTAATGTGTCTAAGGGAACTCATGTAACTATTTATACTTTTATCATTGCATGTTAACTTTTGAAGACTTGCAGCAAAATATATCATGTGTTGCTATATTTTGATTCAGGATAATTTGTTGATTCTGAAATACCACAACTGATCACTTCTAGGTTAGTTCAATTAAACTCGCTATGGTGTATTAGAGTAGATGTTCTGAACAACTTTGCCAAGGCCAGCATAGGCAGGTATGCACTCAGATTACTTACTGGCTATGATGATAAAATAGATCATGGGACATGCTGCTTTGGAGAATAATAAATGTAACTTTGAGAATATATTTTGTGACACTGAAGTATTTTAGCCAAACTTTCTTGCTATAAACCATGTTCAGATAGGGACTCAGAAACAATAGCTAATGTATAAATCACTTGTGGTTTTAGAATATTTTAGCTATTTTCTGAAGCAGACAAAAGTTGTTAGATTTTTTTTAAAGCTAGTGCCTTTTGTAAAAAACAAATTGAATTCTTTTAAGTTTACTCTCAAATTTGTAAAACCTGTTGTTTCTTGACAATATCCAAAGAAATTGAATGTCTTATAGTTACTCCTAAGAAAGAATATTATTCTAAGCATTTATACATTGTATGTGCTCTATTATATGTCTTTTTTAATATAATGATTTATATTGAACACATACTTTTAGGTCATTGTACTTGGTTTTGCTTTTCAGCACTTTAAACTTTAAAAAATTTTAAGTGGCTACCTTTTATATTTTACAGAACTGAAACCAGAACAAGTGAAGAATATGTCTGCCAATGAGGTATATACTATATTACAATTGTCTTTTCTTGGTTTTGGTTCTCTATATTGTTAGATACATGTTTTGTGTGGATTTTATAGTTTATTTGATTAGAAACTAGAAAAAATTAACTTTGCCTCATTTAAAAAAATGGAGGCCTTCATTAGCAGGTGTGACTCATGGGTCGATTGAGTGTCGACCCATGAACCAGGTGATCACAGTTCAATTCCCGGTTAGGACATATGCCCGGGTTGCAGGCTCAATCCCCAGTAGGGGTCATGCAGGCGGCAGCTGATCAATGATTCTCTGTCATCAGTGATGTTCCTATTCCTCTCTCCCTCTCCCTTCCTCTCTTTGAAATCAATGAGAACATATTTAAAATATATATATAGAGAGAGAGGCCTATCCAATTACAGTATCTTATGTTGTTCATTGATAATGGACAAAAATATTGTACACATTAAGTCATTTTCTAACCATTTATATTACATAAAAACTAAACAAGAAAAGTATAGGAGATGAAGATTTTATAAATTATGAAAATAACTTGGAACAGATTAAGTCTTCAATGTTCTGTTTTGTTTTTTAATGTTTTCCTCCTTATAAAAGCAATGCAATTAACATTGTAATGTAATTTACTATATTTTCTTAATATGGTAGACCCTCTTATGAAATGCTAAAGAATTTATTTTGAAAAATACTGCCTGCTTATGAAATATAAATTGGAAATGCAGAATGATCATAACTGTGTGAACAAACTTTTAAAATCAACTCGCATTATATTTGTAACTTACCTGTCAGAGATATTTTTTTGCTGCCCAAGTTCCAACAGCTATTGAGGAGACATTGAACTCTTAACATAGAAAATGAGTACATTTTGACAGTCCTCTTTCTTCAAACTTTTAAGTAAATTTATGTTGTCTTCAGGCATTTGTGCATGGTGGTTCATCACCTACATTACTAAGAAAGTCCTCACACTTCTTGCAGCCACCCTTTCATTTTAGCAGTCTAGTTTTCCTAAAGTATATTTGGCATGAATGAAACTTAGGAATAGAGAATTCCACATACCCACTCTGGTGTTTAACTACTATACCTTAAAAATCACATTTAGGCTTTTGGCTGAGTGGTTCAGTTGGTTTGTGTGTCCTCCCATACACCAAAAGGTTGCAGGTTCGATCCCCAGTCCAGGTGCGTGCAGGATGCAACCAATCTATGTTTCTCTCTCACATCACTCTCTCTCTCCTTTCCTCTGTCTAAAAATTAATTAAAACATATCCTCAGGTGAAGATTAAAAATTTTTTAAAATTCACATTTCAAGTATAAATTCCAATCCATTCTATCTGATGTATAATTTTAATTCCACATTTTTTAAATTTTTTAATATATCAATACTGTACAATTTGTGTTTCAAAAGTGTCTTATGGATTTTTTTAAAAATATATATTTTATTGATGTTTTACAGAGAGGAAGGGAGAGGGATAGAGAGTTAGAAACATCGATGAGAGAGAAACATCCATCAGCTGCCTCCTGCACACCTCCTACTGGGGATGTGCCCGCAACCAAGGTACATGCCCTTGACCAGAATCGAACCTGGGACCCTTCAGTCCACAGGCCGATGCTCTATTCACTGAGCCAAACCAGTTAGGGCATCTTATGGATTTTTAATAGTTTAAATATAATGTATTAACAATATCCTATAAACATATTGCGTTTTAAATGTTCTTATACTCATAGCATAAACCTAATTGTACTTTTCAACAAAAAGTAAGCATCAGGCATGAAGTATTTCTCTGACTTGGATCAAGGATAGGTAAACTTGATATCTCATAATCTGGCCTCGTAGGTTAAAGCTGAGGAAAGGCCTTATGTCTGACATTTTAGACCTCTGTGTTTGTCCCTTGAAAAGACCATATAGCCTGGCCAGCATGTCTCAGTGGTTGAGTGTTGACCTATGAACCAGGAGGTCACAGTTCGATTCCTGGTCAGGGCACATGCCTGGGTTGCAGGCTCGGTCCCCAGTGTGAGGTATGCAGGAGGCAGCCAATCAATGATTCTCTCTCATCATTGGTGTTTCTATCTCTCTCTCCCTCTCCTTTCCTCTCTGAAATTAAGAAAAATATTTTTTTTTAAAGAAAGACCATACAAGTAAAGGAAACAAACAAGGCAATAATGAGGTAAAGCCACCAGCTGGCAAATTTTAGTACGAAGTGGTATGCAAGTTCTCAGTTGACTTCACAGGGAACATCCCTCAGCCCCACTTTTGCAAGTGTTCTTCACTCGGACTCAAGCTCCTAGGCCGTGGCACTTTCTATGCAGATCCCTGAGGAAGGCCATTTGCTTGTACATAAAATGGAATGCTTTAATAAACTTGCATTAATATCTTACAATAATTTTATGAAAGCAAGTAGGTGGCTGCTTAGAGAATAGTAGAAATTCTTAGGAATCTTTCCATTATTTCATGAGAAAAGAGATCTGTTTACCATTGATAGTGGCTCTGTTAACCATTATATGTTTTACCCATCCTGAGAATATACATAAAACCAAACTTTCTTCTTCACTGAAAAAAGTCAACCCAAATATAATTCCTGTTTATTTGAAGAGTAAAGAAATTTTGAGTCTATATTCTTTTTTTAAAAAAAAAACTTTTATGTTCTTATAATTATAAAACAAGGTAGTCATTCTGTTGCTGTAGGTATATATAGCTATACTAGAGGCCCAGTGCACGAAATTCGTGGATGGATAGGGTTCCTAGCAGCTGCTGGCTGCCAGCCAGGGCTTCCCTTCCCCCAGCTTCCTGCCACTGCCAGCCAGGGTGGGATCAGAAGGGGGGAAGGGGAGGTCGTGGGTGGTTGGCTGGCTAGCCCCACCCCCAGGTCAAACTCCCAGTTAAGGGGACAATTTGCATATTAGGCTTTTATTATATAGGACTGGGGCCTGGTG